TATTACATCAGGGTGTTTACCCAAATCATGTAGCTTATATATACGGTACATGATGATACTAGACGCGATTTTACTTCCAGCAGCTCTGATGAGATGTTGGTTGTAGGGAGGATGCGTGTGGCTGGCAGTCTGGGGTGAGAGGCCTGCCTGCCCTGCTGGTGTCACTGCGATCAGGGCGTGCTTCCTGCCGTACAGTACTCCTACTGCATGGGGGTGAGTCAACCAGTAGTGCGAGAACTGCAAGCATGGCCCTGGGGAAGCAAAACCCACCGTCTTGGTCATGTGTGGCCATGCACAGACCTGCATGTTCATGTTTCTTAGAAAGCCTGATGAGACAATTTGTCTTGGGTCAAGTTCTGCGATTGGTGGCCCAGAGCACTTGGTAGCTCGCCGTGTAACTGGAGGATGATTTTGAGTTCAGAGGACACTTGGCAATGTCTGCAAATGTTCCTGACTACCTCGGCTGAGAGGGGCTCTTGGCCTCTAGTGGGTGGAGGCCGGGGATGCGGCTAACCATCCTACAATGCACAGGACGACCCTACAACAAAGGACCATGCCCCCCATATGCTAACTGTGTCAAGGGTGAGAAAGTCTGTGCCGGAAACTTCCTTCCCTCAATTTCATCAGAAGCAGCAGTGACTATATATAGAAGCCTGGAGAGCTAACAGCTCCCTAGTGGAAATATACATTCAGGAGGATGAAATGTGAACTTCTGAGGATAGTGATGGAGACTGGATTATTTATTCTGCAGCTATGCACCAGACCCTAGCCTGCGGGGGCCCAGCTGCCCCTGTTCATGCTGTGTGGTAACCTGAGGAAGAGTGATGCGGTCTGATAGGACTTGGTTAAGTGAGCTCCCAGGGGATGCCCCGGCCTCGCTGCTCTGAATGGCCGCTTTGTGCACAGCTCTCCTGTATTCTCCATGGAGACCCACGGAGAACCACGTTATTGTATTCTCACCTGTTCAACAGGTTTTGACTGAATGGCCTTTGAGAAATCAATACCAGCTAAAGGGGAAGAAGAGCACACCTGGCTTTTGATTCCTGGAAGGCTGGGTGACCTTTTTCCATGTCATTCTAGACTAGTTTGTGGGAGGTGGGAGGCGGGTGCTCCAGATGCATTTTTTGTTTTATTGTTTATTTTCTTGACCCTCAAGACTGCGCGCTCTTTGCTTTGAATCCTGTCACCTGATAGTCACAACGCATCTGGTTTTGCATTAGAGCCTATTGTTTTGGTTCTTATTATAGGGCATGTAATTGAATCAGGACTGATGTACCACAGTACAGATATAACACATTGTCCTTAGAATTCACAAGTGAATAAAATAGTATACAGGCTATGAAGAGGAAGCCCCAAGCACTGCCTGCCTGCCTGTATTTGCACACAGGAGGCTCCATAATTATTATACTGTCTGGTGTTGAAAATTCAATGGTTTCCAAGTTTTGAGAATTGCAACCAAAACAGCAATCGGCATTGTTAAGATTTAGTTAATAACTATTTCTTGAGGAAACATCCCAGAAAAGTAAACTTAACTCAGAAAGAATCCACAGTTTTAAGGTTTTTGGTGCAGGTTGCCAAAAGCAGCTCTGGAAAGTTGTACTAATGTGTACTCTGAATAGATATCCATGGACGTGAACTTTCTTTTTAAGTCACAACCAAGGGTAGAGTGTGTAGGGGGTCAGGAGTACCGTGAATGAACCTGCCACGTTTGACCCAATGACTGTCAGAAATTATTACCATTGTCCTTACTTTCTTGGCTTTGGCCAGTCACCTGGCTGAGGACCATCTCAGACAGGCCCCTGCCTCAAGGCCTTTGCACTTGCTGTTCCTGTGACACGGTTTCTCCAGATGTCTGCCTACATGGCTTACCTGCTCCCCTCTCCTAGGTCTTCACTCACATCCGGCCTTCTCAGTGCCACTTTACCTGGTTTTCCGATTTCCAATTGGGTTCCGGCCCCTTCCGCATGGACACGCCCAGGTGCTCAGGCTCTCCTTGCACTCCATTGCTCTCCCTGTCCCCCAGTGACACCTACCATCTGGGTCCCCAGCCTTGAAGACAAGCACAGAGTGGGGCTCAAAAGTCCTGTGCTGATGGCTAAAGAAAACATCAGCAAAATGAAAATGGAACCAACCATATGGGAAAATATATTTGCCAGTGATACCTCGGACAAGGGTTTGATCTCTAAAATATATAAAGAACTCACATGGCTCTACTCCAGGAAGACAAACAACCCAATTAAAAATGGGCAAAGGACCTGAACAGACACTTCTCCAAGGAGGATATACAGAGGGCCCAGAGACATATGAAAGTATGCTCAGCATCGCTAGTCATGAGAGAGATGCAAATTAAAACCACAATGAGATACCATTTCACACCAGTCAGAATGGCCATCATAAACAAAGCAACAAACAAGTGTTGGAGAGGATGTGGAGAAAGGGAACCCTAGCGCACTGTTGGTGGGAATGCAGATGGGTACAGCCACTGTGGAAAACAGTATAGCATTCCTCAGAAAACTAAAAGTGAAACTGCCCTTTGACCCCGTGATTCCACTGCTGGGATAATACCATAAGAATCCTGAAACACCAGTTCAAAAGAACCTATGTACCCCAATGTTCGTAGCAGGACAATTTACAATAGCCAAGTGCCAGAAGCAACCTAAGTGCCCATCTACATGAATGGATCAAAAAACTGTGGTCCATTTACACAATGGAATTCTATGCAGCAAAAAGAAAGAAGAAGCTGCTACCCTTTACACCAGCATGGATGGAACTGGAAAGCATTATGCTGAGTGAAATAAGCCAGACACTAAAAGACAAATACCATATGATCTCACCTATATGTGGAACCTAATCAATAAAACAAAAAAGCAAGCAAAATAGAACCAGAGACATTGAAATAAAGAACAAACTGATGGTAACCAAAGAGGAGGGGGCAGGGGATGATGGGGAGAAAAGGGGAAGGGTCATCAAGGAACATGTATGAAGGACCCATGGACAAAGGGGGATAGGATCAAGGGTGGGAGGTAGGCATGGGTGGGGTGCGGGGAGTAGTGGATGGAAAATAGAGACAACTGTACTGGAATTATAATAAAAAATAAATAAAAAAGGATTTTCATTAAACATGAAAGAAAAGCACAGGAGAGAAAAATCCTGCCCTGTGGGAGTAGATGTGCCCTCACTGGTGAGCACTGATTACCCACACAGTGGGCTTCCTGCGTCATCCAGACCAGAGGAGCAGTCCTTTTGTTGGGGTTCATTTCCTTTACCTGTCGGCTTTGGCGAACTGAGTGATTTATGTAACAGCCCATGCTGTTGAGGCTGCCATTCTTAGCTCCATCTCTGTCGTCTCATTAATGTCCACCTGCCACAAGGTGGGGCCTGGCAAGGCTTACTCTGGCCTGATAAAACCCCATGTGTGTGTGTTTGATCAGAACCTTCTTACAGAGATCAATGTCTCAAACAAACGACCGAGCACCCAGTAGAAGATGGGCAGAGGCTTTGGACAGTTCACAGAAGAGTGGACATGGGAATTTGCCTTTTCAAGTTCCACCTCACTCACTGTAATACAAATACAGGTTAAAAGCTCACTGAGACCTATTTCTTTCCAAAGTGTCGGGCGTACCAAAGTTCAATCTGTTGCTGAGGCTGTGTCAGTAGGCAGCCTCGTCGGCTGCTGGAGGGAGTGTGGATGGGCACAGCTCCTGTGGAGCGATATTCAGAAATGGGCATTGGAATTTAAAACTGCTTGCACTCTCTGACCCAGCAGTTTCACTCCAGTGACTCTCTCATCAGGCTCTGTTTGCACGTGTGCAAAGTGGTGTGTGCATATAGTGATGGACTGCATCGTGTTTGTGACAGTCGAAGGGAAGAAATCCCACAGCACACCAGGGGTGTGCACGGCAGAGGACAGCTTCATCAGATAGGGTAGTTCCATTCCAGGAATGGCGATGATGCTGGGAAAGGAAGCAGGTTGCAATATTTGTACCAATGTGGAAAGATTTAGAAGATACACAAAATGAAAAAAAACCCAAAAGGGTAGAGAGTGAGCGCTGCCTTTTATATAAAGGGGAAAGGGCAATATATTTTTACATTTGCCTTGTGAAGAAATTCTAGAGGAATGCAGCAGAGACTAGTAACAGTGGATAGCTGGAGGGAGGGAGGGGGTCCAAGTGGGGATTGGGTAGGTGGGCCACTTCGAAAGGAGAGAGACTCTGCATAAAATCACACTCATACACATTTGTATTTTGAATCACGTGTTTCACCTGTTCAAAAATATTAAAGTTAAAAAAGCCATCCTAAAGGAGGCGGGCTGGTCTGGGGGAAGGTCATCTTGCCTAGTTTGTGCCAGCAGCACTGTTGAGTCAAGTGAGAATCCGAGGTCTGCCCTCCACGCTGGGCCCCCGGCTGTGGGCAAAGGTGTTTTGTGTGGACTGTGCTAGGGGAGGGAGTGTGTGTGTATGTGTGTGTGTGCGCGCGTGCGTGCGCGCGTGTGCCTCTGTGTGAACCTGGAGCCACGGCCCCTTCCTTCTGACATCCTGGTTGCTATAGTACAGGGCTCTGTTTGTGACACACAGAAAATACTTTAAAGAAACTGCTTCCTGACCATGACTTCCTGGGCAATCTGTCCTTCCGGAGACTGTTGAGCACGAGGGTTTCTGCGCCTTTCTGGACAGAGCGAGTCCTGCTCATTCAGACCCCGGGCTTTGCTGGGAGCAGAACCCACGGTGAGGGGTGCCTCGCTTTCCCCCTCAAAGAGTCAGGAGGCTGTCCCTCTCAGGGCCACGTCTCCTGGCAGCGTTGACTCAAGGGCAGGGGCACCTTCCCCTCCTGTGTCTTGTCTCCTCCGGAGCAGCCGGTGGTGCACTTGGTGCCCTGTGCCTACTGTGCCCGGAGCTGTTTCTTATACCCAAACCGCCAGTGGAAACAGGAAGTGATGCAGCAGAATCCGCCTTGCATGTGCACTGAGCGACTTTCTTTCTCTCTTTGTCATTCCTCCTCAGGGATAGACACGTGTGGCCGTCTGCGCTGCAGGAGCCCAGGTGCACCGGCTGTGGACACTCTCCGGGTTCACAATGCCACCACCCGCGGACATCGTCAAGGTGGCCATAGAATGGCCGGGCGCCTACCCCAAGCTCATGGAAATCGACCAGGTCGGTAATGCCGGGAGCCCCGCGGGGGTTGCTCGCGGTTTCCTCTCTGTTCTGGAGTTTGCACAGACTTTGGATGGCTCTCTTTTTCCCCTGTTCACTCTCCGGCCGTGTTGAGGAGTCTGCGCAGCGACACTGGCAGTGTAGTTTGATTTCTGCGCTCCATGCAGCGGCGACGCATGGGCTTTTCACTCCTCCGGCATCTCCTTGGCTGGTGTCAATACAGGGCTTGTGTCTGACGCTGTGACACAGGCGGGAGGGACGCGAGGACGGCTGGCTCCAGGCAGCTGACACAGTGGAGGCTGTCCCAGCCCTGCCTGGCAGGACCTCGTGAATACGGGCAGATTGTTTTATCATAGGCAACACAGAACTTAATTTTTTGAATCGTGTTGCTCTCCCAGTTTTGCAGAAGCAGCCAAGTGCATTACATTAACAGCTCGATAATGAGATTAGTGTGGTGCGTTCAGGCCTGGATCCCTGACCATTGTAATTTTATGACTAGTGTGAAATGCACTCTGAGTCTAGTATATTGCTGGGCATGTAATAACTACTCAGTAAATGCTCATTGAATGGAAAAATAGCCAGGTGATTTAAAAATGATTTCACCCTTTAGCTTAGGTCTCAACAGTTTGGGGGACAGCTCAGGAAGGTTCCTTTGTCCTTCTAGAGCCAATGATTTTAATAAAAAAGAGTCGAGACTTAATACACAGTTGAGGCTTTCATAGAGCAGGATGCTAGATGGCTTTTTACCTTTTCAAAGTTAGGGCACTGTGGAAGGTCACTTTTTATTTATGTCCTTGATACGATTCTATGAGTGTGATCTACTGGTGTACTGTTTTTTCCCCCTGGTCAGGTTTGTTTAACTTCTTGAAGATTATATGGCATTGTGTGGATTCAGATAATTCATTAAACTAAATTATAGGCAGCAAGTCAGAATTAGTTGGGCTTGAGCATGAACGTGAGGAAAGGCAAATGTTGAGGATTATTGCTATAAAGGTATCCTCAGACGGGCACATCCTTGTCATTTTGACTGCTCTCTGGTAGTTTCTGGGGCCCTGGAGGAAGCCCGTGCAGGTAGAGGAGCCAGCCCAGTAGTTTTTCACACGTATAACAGCTGTTTGTCCCCTCCACGTGCTGTGTGAGAGAGGACACCAGTGGGATTTTAGTGTAAAGTATGCCTGGGACTGCTTGGTGCAGACTGAACGTGGTTGGGATTAGTTTGGCTACCTAAGAGAACCCCGCTTCAATGAGTTAGAAGGTGGCTTCCGGGCTGTCTCAATGCTCCGCTGTCATGGGCCCAGGTGCTTCTGTCTTGTTCCTTTGCCTCCTCCACAGGGCTGAGGACCCATTGCTCAGGCCTCACCTGGGAGCTCGTTAGACACACAGGGGCCTGGACCGCACCTAAGACCTGCTGACTCTGAAGCTGCATTTTCAGCAGCTCCCTGGGGACTCCTGTGAGGAGTTAAGTCCGAGGAGTGTGGAGCTGGATGCCCAGTGCCCAAGCCTGAGCGAACCACCTGGAGACCCGGCCTGAGAGTCCGGTGAACGACTTCCTTTGAGTCGTGCTGTGGCCCAGAGTGTTTGGGGACGTCTGTGTTAAGACAGCAGGCAGCTCCTGATCCATGCTTGTGGGGCCTGTGGAGTCAAGTGTCCCTCCCAGCCTCTGGGCATGGCTTTTGCTGTGTGTGTGTTAATGATTTAAAAAATATATATTTAAAAATACTTTGGAACAATTTTAGGTTTATGGACAAACTGCCAAGACTGTACAGAGAGTTTCCACATACCCTTCACTCAAGTTCCCCTAATGTTAACATCTTACTGTAACAGCGGTACATGTGCCAGAACTAAGAAATTAATGATACATAAGTGGCCACAAGACTGCACACTTTTTTTGGACTTCACCAGATTTTCCACTAATGCCCTTCTTCCCGTTCTACTGATCAAGGGCTGTCAACCACGTGGTTTTGCCACTGTCCCATTCCTTGAGACTCCTGGAAGCTCCTGCTCTTTCTCAGTCTTTCCTTGTTTTGCATGGCCTGATCGCTTTGAAGAGTAACTGTATTTTGATAGTTTCACACACAGAAGTGGTGAGAATAGTACAAAGAACCCCTGCCTGGCTTTCACCCAGAGCCGTGAATTATTATTGTCCTCCATTTGCTTTATTAAATGCTTTCTCTATTTTCTCTCCCTCTCTACTATATATCCTCTCTCCGAACCAGTCGAGGGTGATTTAAGAGTTACTGTCCCCATTATCTTTCAATACTCAGTGTCTTTCCTAAGAACAAAATCATTCTTATGTAACCAGTCTCTTTATAAAAACCAGGAAACTGCACATTAGTTCAGCACTGTTGTCTGATTCAAAGTCTGTAGTCCGTGTTCCGATTTTATTGGTTGTCCCAGTAGGTCCTTTATTGGTATTGTCCCCACAGTCTGAGAGCCTACCAGGATTGTGTGAGACATGACACATGTCTCTCTGGTCCCCATTGATCTGGAACAGCTCCTCAGTCCATCCTTATCTTCTGTGGCCTTGAGGCTTGTGTAGAGTACGTGCCAGCGATTTTGTGGGATGCCCTTGAGTGGGGCATCCCTTTCTCTGGATGCCCTTTCTCTGATGTTTCCTCTCTGCTTGATTCAGGTTTTGCATTTTTGGCAGAAAAGCTGGAGAGATGACAAGGCGTCCTTCTTGGGACATCGTCTCGGGAGGCTGATGGCATTGCCCTGTCTCATTCCTGGTTTTATAAACACAGATACTGAGGTTCCCAGAAGCTGGGTGTTTGCTGGTCAGTGAGAGCAGAATGCCAGCCAGGCCTCCCCCACTCTGAAGCCTGAACTTGTCTACAGTTGGCTGAATTGTCATCTCCTGGTGATACCATGTGGGGACCCGCGCAAAGCGTTAGACACCCAGTCCCTTGTCCGGCAGCTACCGAGGTTGGAGCGAACCGTGGCAGGGCCGGTGGCAGGTGGCCTTTCTGGATCGAGTGAGAAGTTGGCACAAGAACTGGAAATCTATTTTCACTTGTAATGAAGACTTGAGCCATGTCGAGTCCTTGTGTTTTCTCCTAATTTTTTATCTTGTTCAGTAAAGGTCACGTAGTCTGCCTCTCTCCCACTGCATGTCACCTTTGTTTAGAGAGCACTTCTCTCCTTTTTTACCTGAGTAGCAACTAACTCACTGGCCAGTGTTTCTGGAAGTTGGGGTAGGCACTGCTACCCCATGTCCTCTGGAACCTCCACTTACGACGTTGTGTGGCCACTGTCTATCAGCATACACCTGAGTGTGCCCAAGAGTCCCCCAGGGAGTTGTAATAAGTGCACATGCCCGACCTGGCCTCAGAGACTTTGATTCTGTCACTCAGGGGTGCAGCCCCTAATCTCGTCTGTGTTGAGTAGTGGGGGTCCGATGCAAGCGTTTCACATCGTAAGACCTCAGGGGCTGGTGAGAAAGAGCAGCCCATGAGCCGCTTCCTCCTCGCTGGGCTGTCTCTCTGGTGCCCCATGAACAGGCCTTACTTAAGGAACGGAGATTTAATTCCTGAGTAAGTAGGACAGGGAGCCCCCGGGTGGGGACCCGCTCTGCCCAGCCATCCTTCAGCAGTGCTTGCTGAGTTCAAGGGTATCTGCTCCCAGCGGACCGATTTATCTCCCTTATAAGTTTTAAGGAGACAGTTCCGTAGGAAAAGTGCTAGGAGCTCTCCGCGAGTGGAGTTGACTGGATCCCACGCTGCTGCCAGGAGTCGTCAGCTCACCTGCTAGGGCTCCTGCTCTGGCCCTCACCATCCACTGCTGGGCTTCAACCTCAGGACCACCTGAGCCTGTGGGTGCACCAAGCCTGGCAGATACCCCGCTGCCCAGTTCTTGTTAACGTGTTCTTCCCTGAGCTGTGTGTCTCACTGTCAACAGTGCAGAACCCCCGGTGCTTAGATGAGAGGCATCGGTCCTGAGAGGCAGTATGTCCTGACCCACACAGGACAGGCTCCAGGACACAGAGAGTGGGGTGGGGGCCTCTCCGAGCCTCAAGATTGTCATCTGCTAAAGGCTAGGTGATAGTTTGCCGCTTTTGTGATTATTGTGAATGTTGAAGAAAACGTGTGAAAAGAATGCAGGGCATTGCCTGGCGTGGAGTAAATACTCTGCACAGGAAGGCAGCTGCTATTGCTACTGTCTAAGTAAGTTCTCATCAGATAAGAAGAGGAGATGCTGTGGTTCTCTCGTTAACCTGTTTGTCCATCATGAAGTTTTCCTCCTTTCTCCTCCTTTGTCTGCCCAACTTTCTTACTGATTTTAGTGAGAGAAGAAGGGGTGGGGTAGGGAGAGAGAGAGAGATATTTGTTGTTCCATTTATCAATGCATTCATTGGTTGATTCTGTATGTACCCTGACCAGGGATCAAACCTACAACTTTGGCACATCGGGCCAGTGCTCTCACCACCTGAGCTACCTGACCAGGGCCCTGCCAAAATTCTTAAATATTTAGGAAAGAGAGAAAATTAAAGGGCACGTGGGAGGGAGGCATTCCCCAGTAATAAAGAAACCTTCTAACAGGGCATGCATTCAGTCTGTGCTACGGAACATTCACTGGCTCCCTAGTACTGCCCCACGATGTGTTCTTCCAGCCCTTGGCTGCTCACCAGCATTTCCGGGCGGAAGCTCTCCTGTTCCCTGCACGTGCTCTTCGAGCCTCGGTTTCCTTTTTCCCCTGCCCTCACACGCATTGTTTTCAGGGAGTCCGCTGAGCACAGAAAGCCACCACGTCTCCCTCTGCCACAGAAGCCTCTGCCTGCGTATTTGCGTGCCTCCATGGAGAAATCTATGCCGTGTCTCCCGCCGCCCTGGCTTGCTCTCCAATGGCCAGTGGAGGAGGGCAGCCTGGCACGCCCCCACCTCTGTTGGTGCGCCTGTGTTTTAACCGTCCTCTCCCCTAACCTGGGGCTTTGCCCCATCGATGTCCCATTGTTCATTTATTCTTTTTTTCTCCTCTGCCTTCAGCAGGAAGCTCTTCTAGTC